ATCTTATCTTATCTTATCAGGACAGATCTAGTGTACTGGTTAGTTTCTGAGTGTCTGCGAAAATAATTAAACTGACGGGCCAACAGTGATCAACCACAGGAGGTTAATCCAGACAAGTTCCAGTCAAAAAATAATATCCCATAGGCTATATGGTAATCACTGAACTAAAGACACTACAGCATCATGTGAGGGTTTTGTGTTCCAAACAGTGCTGACCGAACAGTGACTTTCGGACACTTGGCCCAATAATGACAAACCTGTGGACATTTACTCCAGCCATTCAGAAGCTGCAGTTGACCCAACAGACGGGTCACATACCTTGAACACCTCAGAAAAGAAGCCCGAACCAATCTTCTCACAGAAGAAGTCATCGATGCGGGCCAGGCTGGACACAGCACTCCTCAGGGCTCGGTATGAGGACGGGCGGATCCGGTTGGGTGCATGAATACTGTGAAGAGGCGGCTCATCCAGGCCGCCATGAGTGTCCTCTGCATCACAAAAGCAGCACTCAGCATGGTAGTCCATAGTGCTGGCAGATCCAAGAGCTCCAGATGCACTCTTGTTTTCCTCAGGGGAACCTAAAGGTCTGTCAGACCACAGCAGTCCAGAGGGACGAGGTGATGGTGAATCCCACCATCATGGTGTCAGAAGATCAGAACATCTGCAGGTTGTATCAGTGACCTAATATCCTAACAATAGATTCCTTCCACAATGCTCCACGGTCCTGGAATGCCTCCTCGCAATGTGGGGACGTGAGGAGGCCCTGTTCCCTCCGTCATCCCATCAGTCTGGAAGCTGTGAGGATGGATGCTGCAGCTGCACGGTACCGGGAGATGTCCATACACCGGTCCCTGTGGGAGGGTGACAAGACTATTATTGGACTGCACCGGCAGGTTTACTGATGCTGCACATTACATTTATAGGAAGAGTACAATGATATATGCCAGCGAACAAGAACAGCACACATAAACGCGGAATTGGTCATCTCAGGGCCCCTCTGTAGACGGCCCAGGTCCATCTGCGGCTCTGTGCTCGGTAGGCATGAGGCCAGCAGCCACAGGAATCACCTCACAGGGCGATAAGCCATAACCTCCACTAGATAACCTCGACCTGCACGGCCCGACCGGACTGCTAGCTTTACTCATTATTACAGGCCTTGCTCAGCCATGTACTTCTTTACTGCTGCGTACAGTAAAAAACATGCATACATCTAGAAATAAAACCAAGGACTTCGAAAGCCTATATATTTCCTCTCCCTAACAGCCGCTGGTAATAACTGGTGCTATCAATTAGGAGCGAGTTGCAGAGACACAGTCGACGACTCACCTCTCTCCCCACGCTGCTCTCGCTTGGACTGTGCCTACGGTTCGACTGCTGAAGGTGAACTAAAGGCAGAAATGTCTCCGTGCACCTCGGCGGCGTCTACTTCTGATAATTCTGTCTGAATCCCTGCTCCTGAAGCCGCTCGTTGGGAAAGCCATCTTAATGAAGCAGCCGGAGTCAAGACAAGAGAGTGATGTGCAGCAGTTCCTGTTTGGGAATTCATAATAAAAGCACGATGCACATGCGCAGTACAAAACAGACGAGGGTTCACCTCTGTAGAATACAAAGTTCAAATGATTCATAATTGCATGGCTTACAGTAATTGCCTGAATTCCGAGTTGAACCATAAGATATTGCTCTTACGGTAAACTAAAAACCAACAGTTTAAATGTCCTATAATAAAAAAATACAGGCCCCACAGTAGGAACTCAATGCAAAAAAGTCATTACTGAGAGTCAGATCAATATTTTTTTCAATATTTGGTAAGTCCTCCTTTATTTTGGAAGACAGACTCAATCCTCTTCAGCATGAAGGATACTAGTGTCACACTAATTCCTAGAGAGATGTTCTCCTGTTCCTTATAGACTTTTTAACAGACAGCTGGTCTTTGTTGGAGGGGCTGTTCTGCTCTACCTTCACTTTAAAATAGGTGTTCTACTGAATTCAAGTCAGACAACATACTTGGACATGTCATACTTTTCACCTTTTTCTTCTTCAGAGAGTCTTACATGATTTTGGCAGTGTGACTTGGATTGTTGAATCATGCCAGGATATTCCTTTTCTTTCAAGCTAGTATTTTGGTATGTCCACAGGGACTCATGGTGCCATCTATAAATATCATCTCCCCAGCACCTTTTGCACTCATGCAGCCTCATATCACCTCCTCTTACTTCTGTCAAGATATGCTTTCATTGTATTTGTCCTGGCTAGATTTGTGTTAAACATGCTGGACCCAATCTAGGCCAAACAAATGTGTCTTAGTTTCCTCTGACCAAAGAATGTATTCCCAATTTTCATCAGGTTTCTTGTCATGTTATTTAATAAAGTTTCATTGTGCATGTTTGTGACAAAGAGCAGGCAAGGGTTTTTGTAACCCCACTAATAAGTACTAACCCGTCTGTTTTTTACAGTTAGTTTGAGCAAGTAGTGCACTGTTCATGACCACTGCAGCTTTGATGAGTGATACTATGGCTTGTCCCATACCTCCTGATAACTGCTGCATATCATGACTGAGTCACTAGGATCACACAGTTGTGTTCAAAATAATAGCAGTGTTTTTTAAAACATGAGTGAAGCTCAAAATCCTTATAATATTTTTATTTCCATTTATTGGGAACACTGCACATTATATTTTACATCAAAACATGAAGAAAATGTATTAATATTTTAATTACTTTTTAGAAAATGAAGGAAAATGATATTGGGCTGTTCAAAAAAAATAGCAGTGCTTGCATTTTTCATTACAAACTCAAATAGTTTGTCAATAAACTAAAAAAAATGTTACGATTTAGCATTCCTATGAATCACTAAACTAATATTTAGTTGTATAACCACTGTTTTTGAGAACTGCTTGATATCTGTGGTGCATGGAGTCGATCAACTCTTGCAGCTGTAAACAGGTATTCCAGCCCAGGATGATTTGACAACCTTCCACAGTTCCTCTGCATTTCTTGGTTTTGCCTCAGACACAGCATTTTTGATGTCACCCCACAAGTTTTCTATTGGATTAAGGTCTGGGGATTGGGCTGGCCACTCCACAACCTTAATTTTGTTGGTCTGGAACCAAGATGCTGCTCGCTGACTGGTGTGTTTGGGGTTGTTGTCTTGTTGAAACACCCATTTCAAGGGCATTTCCTCTTCAGCATAAGGCAGCATGACCTCTTCAAGTATATGGATATAAGCAAATTGATCCATGATCCCTGGTATGTGATAAATAGGCCCGACACCATAGCAAGAGAAACAGCCCTGTATCATGATGCTTGCTCCACCATGCTTCACGGTCTTCACAGTTCACTGTGGCTTGAATTGAGTGTTTGGGGGTCGTCTGACAAACTGTCTGTGGCCCTTGGACCCAAAAAGAACAATCTTACTTTCATCAGTCCACAAAATGTTTCTCCATTTCTTTTTAGACCAGTCAATACGTTCTTTGACAAACTGTATCCTTTTCAGCACGTCTTTTTTTTTTTTTTTATTTCTTAACAGTGGGGATTTCTTGCCTATAGATTAGCTTCTCACAAGCGTCTTCTAATTGTCACAGTACTCACAGGTAACTTTAGACCATCTTTGATTTCCCTGGAGCTGATCATTGGCTGAGTCTTTGCCTTTCTGGCTCTTGTTCGATCCATTTGAATGGTAGTCTTCCGTCTCTCTGGTTTTGCTTTCCATTTCAAAACATTGGCGATCATTTTAGCTGAGCAGCCTATTATTTTCTGCACGTCTTTATACGTTTTCCCCTCTTCAATCAACATTTTACTTAAAGCACGCTGTTCTTCTGAACAGTGACTGGAACAGCCCATCTTCCTCAGGTTTTCAGAGAGAATTGCATGTACAACATGTGCTGGCTTTAACCTTAAACAAGGGCCACCTGAATGACACCTGTTTCTCTACACAATGACTGACCTCACTGATTGAACTCCACACTGCTATTATTTTGAACACACCCCTTTCAATTAATTAATCAATCACACAGACTCAGGAGGATGTATATCATAAATGTTGGGTCTGTTGGTTACTGTGTCTCTACTACACCTACTGGTAAATTATTTGCCATGTGATAATATAATTTCTACCAAAAACAGTGGCCGATCTGGTTAGTCATGTTGGACTGCTATCATTTTGAACACAACTACATGTGTTTGACGCTGGGCTGTGAAATCATGAGAATATGCAACTAACCTCATAATTGATTCTTTCTGACAATATAATCAAACCTTAAAAGCGATGTCAATGATGTGTGATTAGGATGACATCATGCTTTGGTTTGTTCTCTCAGAGCCATAGTTGATCTTTGATTGTATGTTATCATGGTGGAGTGTGCATGTAAAGGTATCCAAGTGACTAAGAAACTTTACCCACAGGATCTACCATAAGAAAATGTACAAGTTTAGAAACAAATAACTGATCTTTATGCTCTAAGATACTTGTTAAATCACACAAAACAGTTCAGCTCATGTAACAGCTGACCTTCTTGCAGTGTCCTGATGTACCCGGTTAGAGTATGTTTGGTAACATGATGAAGAAGGTGTATGCCTGAAGAGGAGAAACTGAGATTATTCTTTTAAGAGCAGCCAGAAGATTCGTAGTGAGCAGGTCTCAGTCCAGTGACATGACTTATGTGGTGAATTATGGAACATTCGGCGGGCCAGATTTTAAAGCACAAAGGGCCGTATTAGGCCCAGGGGCAGTAGTTTGCCCATGCCTGCTTTAAAGCATGTACCCAATTACAAAGTTGGCACTTTTAAGAGATTTCTGCATTTATTTACACTTGTTAAAGTAATACAACAAAGATTATGATCCACTGTCACAATAGTCAAACAATAAACAATAAGCCTAATATTTATGTCACTTAAAAAATAATTAGTGCTATTTATAAAGCGGTAGCACAGTTATAACTAGAAAAACACTCGGAGAGCGCAGACCTCTGCCAAGCAGCTCATTTCCACCCATATTGTGATTTCCAGTCAATGTGAAAGTCCTGCATTGATTTTATCTACACTGTTAGATTCATGGAGAATCAGAGCAGTCTTTCTGTACTGTCAAATATTTTGTACACTTAAGTTATTTCTACTACTGTTATTACTATGTTAACATGTCCATATGGTGTTTTATTTTCCTTTTTTTAAAAAAAACACATGCTGGAAGACACCTTATTAGTGACATAAACAGTAAACACCATGGCTGATTAGTTTGATCTTGAAACTGCAGTGTACTCAGAAACACAGATTCAGACCTCCAGGGTTTCATGCACAACAAACCCAAACAACCAATCCTGTCAGCTTAAAAGGTGAGGTTTTCTGCATTCTTCTTCCTCTTCAGAATTGGATTCTGACTCAAATATGTGTGGCTGAATTACTACAATGCTACAGCTTGCCATGGTGTAGTATATGTAACCGGTGGATTCAGTTCTCTGCACTGTGTTTTCAAAGCTGAGGCATAGACTTTCTTTTGGAGGTGATTTCCGTTTATTACTGACCTTGACAGCTTGACAGCTGATAAAAAAAAACACAGGTCTTCTGTCAATTCACAAAATCTGCACCCCTCTCGTACAGAACAGATGAACAAAAGGGCACGTAAGGCGGGAGGTATTCAATGCATTTACAGTAGATGTACAATACAAGACGGAACACATACAAGAGCTTACGTCAGTTCACAAAATCTGTACCCCTACAGAAATTAAATAATACATAAACATATTAGACTGGGAAAGTGAACCCACAAGTAGAATTATATTACATCAAACCACACAAATTACAACAACACAATCTCGCTTACCTCTCATACAGAACACATGAACAAAAGGGGAGAGGTGAGGTGGGAAAAGCTCAGTGATTGTACGGGGTGGGGGGCTAAACGTGTACACAGGGGTACCAGGACCCCCCCAGCAAAGGTTCCACAACCGAGAGGCAGGCTAAAATGTGTGTAATTATAACAATGCATATAATAACAATAAAATAAATATATATATGGTGCATTATGTAATACAAATACAATAATGCATATATATTTGACCCACAACCACTGCTGCATCAGGGACCCTGTAACATATAAAGTAGTTGTATAGTGAGCAGAGTGTTCGGTGAGCTGGTGTGCTGGAGCTGCAGCCAGTGGAGAACGAGTGAATGGAGAGAAGTGGGAGGACTGTATAGATCTACACATTATAGAAGAGTCATTTTGAGGCAGAAAGGAATCATTTTTCACAGAATAAACTTGAGAACATGTAACTGACAAACACATATGGGTTTTTAGAGGTTAAATCAACAACTGGAGAGGGACTTGTGTTAAAGGGACTGAAATGTCAGAAGAAATTTAACTTACAATGCTGAGCAACCAGTCTCCGTTCTTTTCTATCCACATTTATGAAACTGTGTCAGACATTAATCCTGTCTACAACTCACCAACACATTTGTGAATCCTTTATTCTTTTTAGTGATTGTGCGAGATCTCTGTGATCAATCGGCATGCCTGCAGCTCATTCGTCCTGTTTGACCTCCACAGATCATTCTGCCCCTTTAAATCACGATCTCTTTCCCGTTTTGCCGACTGCACACACCAAAGCTGAACCAAGTTACCCAGAGTTACCCACCGTCACACAGGACCCCGCTTCTTCTAGCTATATGTTAAAAAGCAATGTGTGTTTGGGACAGGAAAATTATGCTTATATTATTTAAGCAAATAACATAGCAATAAAGCATGTAAAGGTAACAGAATGAAAAACATGCCATGAATAGTTTTACTTTTTAACCCGGAAGTTGGGTTTTCGGCTACCTTCACGGAAATAAAGCGCTAGCTAGCCTGGCGTCAAGACATTCATATTAAGCTAACGGCTTCATCAGTGACCGCTGCGGTCTATGCGGGGTTTACAGTGTCCGTCTTAGTAGGAGTACGATAGTTAATTAGAAAATGGCATTACTAACGCCGTTATTCGCCTTCCTGTACCATCTCCCGCAGGTGTACAAGTGGCTGCTGAAGCCCTATTATGTAGCTTCTCTCTTCATGTCTATAGCGTTTCTGGCTGTCCGCAAAACGCCTGGAATCTGCGACCATCTGGCCACACAGCGAGAGGACGGCAACTCCTGCGACTTCGACTGGGTTCGTAGAAAATGCCACTAAGTCCAGTTGCTTTTTCGAATTTGATATCAGCTAGCCAGCTAGTTAGCTAGTTAGCTCAGTGAATAGACTGAGTGTGAATCATGGGACAGAGCTGGTAGGACGCTCCAGACGACATTAGCATCTCAGCTCTGAGCTGTGGAATGAATGACAGGCCGAACAACGGGCACAAGACGGAAGTTTATGTTGTTTGGCTTACTGGTAGAGATGCACATGTCACAAGTCTTCATTTATGTTCACTACAAGTAATGACGGTATTATATTACTTACCGCACACAGATCTAGAAATAAGCGTACTAAAACAATAACAAGCGTTGTTTTATTACACTATTCAGGATCGGTTTAGCTACTTGACCTGAGCTAAATGTTTTAGTCTTTTTTCATTGGCTGTACCATTGTCACACCAGAGAGAACACTGGTCAGCTAATTAAAGCTACAATTCTATTGAAGGGGATGCTTGCAAGTTGATATGTGCACACCTGCTGCAGTGTTCAACGTCCTCCATTCAGGCTCTGTGGAGTATGGTTATAGCAAAGCGTTTTTCTTTTCAAAGCCCTCAAGCTACAGCTGATTTAAAAATACAAAACGCACACTCACATAATACACATCCATCCATCCATCCATTCATCCATTATCTATACCTCACTTAATCCTCACGAGGGTCACAGGGGGCTGGAGCCTATTCCAGCTAAATTAGGGTGAAAGCAGGGGACACCCTGGACAGGTCACCAGTCTATCACAGGGCTACACTTAGAGACAGACAACCAAGCACACTCACATTCACACCTACGGACAATTTAGAATCACCAATTAACCTCAGCATGTTTTAATACATGTGTAAATTAGTAATCCATCAAGAAATGTTGTGCATCATTCTGTGTTGCCTCCATGCTTTAGGTCCCCGTACTGACACATTTTCTAGCTGGGGTGTCAGAAGTTTTTCACAGGCTTGATTTTATGGTGCCCACAATGCTGTCACTTCTGTCCACAGTAGTAATCCATTACACTAACCATCTTTATTTTTCAGCTTGAAAACTGTGAAAATGAGTTGAATGTTGAAGTTTTGGATCACAACATGTTTGCATGATCCTCGAAGGCTGGAACAGGTTCATGGGGCTGACCACGGTTAACAGTTTTTATGTCTGTGTTCTCAGAGGGAGGTAGAGATCCTTATGTTTCTCAGTGCCATTGTAATGATGAAGAACCGACGAGCAAGTAAGTAAATGTTTTTTTGTTTTTCTTCAGAACTGGCAATAACATCATACTCAAGGATAGACGAACATTGTGTTGATGTCTGTTTTAGGCCTATAAAATACATTGTAGGGACCTGAATAACAGTTATCTTTACTTAGAAAATACTGATCCTTCAAATTCCATATGGAGTGTATTTTAGACAATTCCTTCCTAGCAAATGACGTAATTGATAAACAGACATTATTATCTTCTGCTTATATAGATGGTTTTTGTCGAGTTTAGTCAAATATATGAACGTGTCTCTGTATCTGTCCATGTCAGTAACTGTGGAGCAACATGTGGGGAACATCATTCTGTTCAGCAAAGTGGCCAATGTGATCCTGTTCTTCAGACTGGACATCAGGATGGGACTACTCTACCTAACACTTTGCATAGGTCAGTTCAGTCTTTGATACCTTAATACTGTGATGCCACCCAAGTGTGATCTTATTCCTCTGTGCTATTTTTGTCCAGAAACCTTTTTTTTTTTTTTTTTACCTAACCCCACATTGGAAATGCTCACTTGAGCATCAAATGGGGATTAATCAGTTGCTGAAAATACTCCTTAACAAAGACATGATTTCTTCCAGTTTTAAGTAATGTTCAGTGACCAGCTGTTTTTGGAAATCACTGAGCCACACCAACATGATGATCAAATGCAGTTAAAGATTAAATTTTTAACTGGCTAGTTGACGTTTTCTCCATCTAGGAAAAATGAAATGCAGTCGTTAAAACCCAAATATTCCTTTGGCGATATGCAAAAGAAACACTGGGAAACTTGGAATTGAACACAGTTTTAGGACCTGTGTGTTTTGGTACGTTTTACATGTAAATTTGTAGAAATACGTATAGGAAAATACAGATGTTACGAATTAATGGCAGTAATGGCGACAACTTCAAAAAACTAAAATCAGCTGGACCATAGGCTAGAGTGAATCCTAATATGAGAGAATGGTACTGAATATTTTTAGGAATATTTTTCAGGAAATAGCTTGGTGTCAAATGTCAGAAAATATTGGAAATACCCTACCCACCACAATTTCAGAAACAACAGCTACTGTAAACAAGCAAAGATAATCAACTTGCATGAATAAAAGTTGCAGATCCTTACACTGGAGGGTAAAGACCCAGAGAATGTTTGGAGTTCTTTGTCATGTAAATGGCTCAAGTCAGCAGACTAATCTTTTCCTAAATCTGCAAGTGTCATCAAAGACAAACCAAGAAAAGTTATATCTCTTGTGTTGGTTCTGTTTCAGTGTTTTTAATGACCTGTAAGCCTCCTCTTTACATGGGACCAGAGTACATCAAATACTTCAGCGACAAAACTATTGATGTGAGTAAAAGACAAAATTTGTAGTGGAAGTTTGGCTATTAACCACAATCAACGTTCTGTATATTTATTTGAAATCCTAGCTGATAATTGTGTGTGTTTAATGCATGTGTCCAGGATGAACTGGACAGAGACAGTCGTGTGACGTGGATTGTTGAATTTTTTGCTAACTGGTCTCCTGAGTGCCAGTCCTTTGCTTCTGTCTATGCTGACCTCTCTCTGAAGTAAGGCTCTATTCATCCCCTCAGTAAACATAACAAATATAAAAGTCACTCAGTGACATTAACAACACTAACTTAAATTACTTCTGTTCTTGTGGTTCAGGTATAACTGTGCTGGCCTCAAGTTTGGCAAAGTAGACATTGGACGCTATGGAGAGATTTCCAAGAAGTAAGACGTGTATTTATCTGTTTTGTATCATCTTTTGTCCTTAAGAAGTTTGTTTCCTCAAGTGCTTGTAGATGATGAGCTTTCTTTTTTTTTTTTTGTCAGAAAAGACTGACTAGAAATATGAACATATTTTGCCTGGATTTATTTATTTTCTACAGGTACAAGGTGTCAGCGTCTCCATTGTCAAAGCAACTTCCATCCTTGGTGTTGTTCCAGGCAGGGAAGGAGGTGATGCGGCGCCCACAGGTGGACAAGAAGGGCAGAGCTGTATCCTGGAGCTTCACTGAGGTCAGACTGGATGGTACACTCAACATCTGCAACTGTTTGTCTGAGAATACATTTACAATTCAACGAATGATATGCGCTGTACAGCTAACCTCAGTTTACTCGTTCAAACTATATTCTTGTGATGTGGTCATGGTAAAAAAAAAGAAAAAAGGAACAAATAACCGTAATGGCAAGCAGTGAGTTGAAGCAACCATTGCACGGTTTCCACGTCTTAGTGGTTTAAATGTATATGCCAGTGGGTTTACAGTGGTCTTGTCAATTTTAGCTTTCTCCATTTCAACAGGAATTTGCTAAATGTGGTTCAGAAAAGCTTCACTGTGCTGCCCTACCAAACAGAAGCAACCAACCAAGTGTATTTTGGCACTACCAATGCTAAAAACACTCCCCTTTTCATTTCCCCTTTCAATCATCAAATTCAAATGAACTCGTCAATAACCATCTCCGTCCTGTGTGTCTCTACATTAGGAGAACATCATCAGAGAGTTTAACCTGAACGAGCTCTACCAGAAGTCCAAGAAGGTCATCAAGACCAAAGGAGACAAGGTCAGCCAGTCCCAGTTCCCCCCGGTGCCTGAGGAGGAGGAGCCAGAGCAGCCCGGAGCCGATTTCCAAGTGAACGATACTGAATCCAAGAAGGACAAATAAGATGATTTGTAGCTCTCAGCTTGGACTTCTGGATGAAACATGTTGGTCCAGGTCAGCTAACTCCCTCTCCAGCTTGTCTTCATGCTCCTCCTCTAAGTGTTCAGTTTGTTCACTTGTGAATCTGCCTTGCAAACTACCCGGACGTATTATTTAGTGGTGTGGCAAGAATGAACAGCAGAAGTACAGCATTCACGTTCATGTTGAGTGAAAATTAAATTAGCACAGTGCTTTTGCACATCGTAACACTAATCTCTTTTAATCCAGTAATTTAACACTGGTTTCAGCCAGAGTAACATAGTCTGTTTTCTCTTTAAAACAAAATGAAAGAACAAGTAACAGTGTACACTTTAATGGAGGAGAAAACTGAGACACAGTCAACCAGCTTTTGATGGGGGTGCTAATGCTATAAAATTCTCCAGTACATCAGCATCAGGCCTGGAACTGTGTTGTGCAGAATCGACACAGCATATTTCTGCAGTGAAGTCTAAGGGCCTGCGAAGGGAGCAGTGAATGTGATGATACTTCATTAATTTAGATTTTTATGCTACTAATTTAATTCAGATTAGTTTTTATTTTTACTCTTACTTATGATTTTAGCTGTGTCTTCCTATAAAATAAAGTATAACTCAGCGGGACACACAGAACAGGCTGTTTTTGACAATTCATGGCAGTGTTCAACGGTACGTTCAGGCTCCTGGTGGTTTTGCTTTTGAATGAATGCTTCAATGTGGGAGCGGTTCACACGTGCATGAACACCACCGACACATTAATGGATAGACACGCACAAGCAGCAGTGCTATATATTTAACATGTATCCAAGAACGCAGCAGAGAGCGTTTAATACGCAGTTTGTAATGAGAAGTTATGACTAAAACAGTTCTTTATACAGCAGCAGTGAGCGAGGGAAGGGAGGGGGGTGGAGGGATGGAAATCAGTAGGATGATCAGATTTGGTACCAAGGTTTATTTCTTTCATTGTTGGCTATTTCACAGATTCAAAATCTTCTAACACTTTAAAGGTAATACTGAATGAAACTGTATATCATTTTTAGTCGTTTAGCATTTAGCAGTGTGGCTCTGGGGACAGCAAAGTCGGTCAGCCAGTTCTGCTTTCAGTTTGTCTTTGCTCAAGATAGCTGACACGGTAAACAACAAGCCACTCTGCTCATTTCCGTTAATACATTCTTGATTCCTCTCGTCAACTCCTCTCTTTGAGTCTTCATGCCTCCCACCAGTGATGCTAGCGGATTAGGCTAGGAAGAGACACGAGGTAACAGGTGTTTAACAAAACGAGACATCCGTACCTCGAAGCAGTTGTTTCAAAGCAATAATTAGAAATGACATGTGGCACAGCGGCATCATCTGTCCATTGTTGTGTTGCAGGTTGCTGCTGTATTTTATGATTGCGCCCAACATGGTTTGAATGTGCCAGCTGTGTCACACCCCATGTATATCATCACAGGCACAGAATAGACTTCTTCAAAGGATAAATCAGTACATTCTGTTAATCCTTATTCAAAGGTCCTTTTTGCAAGCCACCTCTCTTCTCACTCCTCAAGATGCATTTTAGGAATTGAAACATCCTTTAAAGTGTTGCACTGACATACATGTGTGGGTCACAAGCAACAGGATGGAGGACAGAGAAGATGAGAAGGCTAAAAATAGGGAAATGAGATGAGCTTATAATGTAAGAGTTGGTAAACAACATGGTATGACAGTTACTGTCATGACTTGTTTAAGCATGCTGACATGAACATTTACCTCAACCTCACAACTGCAGGCTAAAAGCTCTAACCTATTCTCTATTATCGGTCACAAATCATCCACAACCCCAACTTTATTGTAAGTGATCCCACACCAGGTCCCAAGCATGGTTTTGAGAAACTGTGATTGTCAACAGAAAAACCTATTAAAATCTGTGTTAACTGGAACACATCAAAAGTTTAACCTGAGTATTTAAGTCTCTGGATGGAGCCACAAAGCCTCCCACAAGCTCTAGTTTTCAATCAGAGTCATGGTAGCCAATCAAATTTCATCGAACACATTGAGCAAGCACTGAACAAAGCCTTTTTGCTGTGAACCTGTATTTAGCATAGTGATAAACTGAGCGCATATTTCCAGAGGATGAGATGACCTCACATTCCAGGATTATCTGACAGATTGACACAGCTTTGTCTGTTTTTAATAAATTGCATTTAATATACGAATTGCCAAAATGTCTGTTTCCTGGCAAGCTGCTGCTTCTTCTCTTTTTGACCATATAAACATTGTTTTTGAGGCATTTGGGAACATTTTTAAAATACTGTTAACTTTGCATTTTGAAGACACTGAGTTTACTCCTGATTCCTGTATTATTCCGCCTGTTTTTTTGTTTTGTATTGTGTGTCTGTACATACTTATATTTTGAAATAGATTTTACCTGTGTCATGTTGCATTTCATTCCAGCTGCATTTAGATTTGTGTATTTCTGCTCTTCATGATTGGAGGAGTTGTTGTAAAAGAAAAGTCTGGTCTGTTTTGTTATTCATGTAATAAAACAATGTGCCCATGAAGAGTTCTGATGTTCTCTTTATTTTTCAAACAATAGTTGGATTTCCTTATCACTTAGATTACACGTATAAAAATCAAGAGAAATATATAAATTATATAGTTTTGTTGCCCTTTCATTGGTCATTTGGAAAAAATGCACTAAGAGACAGCAACACAAATGTGGATGGATTGAAAGCAACCTGAACTACACCATTTTTTTTTTCTTTTTTATCGGGTTCATTTTTAGGAACAGAAACATATAAGGACAATAACACTCGGCAAAGGGAGGATCCATCTCATGACAAAACTATACACAAATGTATAAGTTCACCTGTGTATATATATATAAAGAATAAGTAATAATAAAAATTTAAATGATTTTAAAAATGGGCTAGTAGCATCTTTGCTTTCACATATCAATTCCTCGCATCGAAAAATATACTTTTATGTGACATGAAATCAGGCCTAAAAGTCGACACATGAGTAAGCCATCTTCACCGATTTTCCTTCAAATATATCAAATTGAGTTCTTAATTTAAATGTTATTCTTTCCATTGTGTATATATATATTGTAAACCAGATCAAACTAACAGCACCTTTAACAGGTATGTATCACTCTTGGATAAATTAATATGTTCTAAATCGCATAGGTACGTCATTTTAAAATCAAAAAGAAATTTCCTCTCAACAACTGCCTCCAGGACTCTGTGAACACTTTGCCAAAATGGAGCCACAGAGGGACAGTTCCAGGACATATGGAAGTGATTTGCCACAGTCTCTCCACACAATCTCCAGCAGGCAGTCTGATTGGAATATTTAATTGTCTGTGCTGGAGTGCAGAAGAAGCGAGTCACATCCTTCCAGCTGAATTCTCTCCAGGTGGGGGAACTCGTCATTGACCGTTGTTGTCTACAGATTCTGCCCCACTCTTCCAGTGTTATTGTAATGTTACCCTCTGCTTCCCATCTTGCTTGAATATTTGGAGTATGATGTTCTTTTACATTTTGAAGAGCTAAATATATTTCGATATACTTGGAGACACCTCTCCGTTTATTAATTTCTAGATAATCTGATATTTCTTTTTACAAACTTTTCTCCAGTGTGTAAGTTTCTTTTCATGCATCAGTGTTAGAGTCAGGTATAAAGGGCAGTGATCAGAAGTATCCATAGTTCCAATATGGCAGTTTTGCACGCTACTGATATCCGTTCCAAATCGTAGGAAATAATCTACTCTTGAATATGTTAAATGAAGTGGAGAAAAATAAGAAAATCTCTCTTTAAAAAGTGATTAATGTGATTCAAAGTGATGCTAAAATCCATTCTCTATACACCACTTAGTCCTCACTAGGGTCGCGGGGGTGCTGGAGCCTATCCCAGCTGACTTAGGGCAGGGTACCTTGTGCTTCTGTCGCAATCCTGTCCAATATTTGTATATAAAATTCTGGTTTAGAGCCAGGAGGAATATACACATTGTATAGTGTAAACAGATTTCTGTTCACACACTTCCTTTTATAAGAATGAATCTAGCCTCTCTATCTTTACTGGTAGATCTACGCTAGTACACTAATTTACCAGATATCAATATAACAACGCTTCTTGTATGTTTTGATCCATTAGATGAAGAGAACATATATTTAAAGTCATGTCTTTTAAGTCTTTCATGTTTTGTCCCTGTCATATGAGTCTCACAAATGCAATATCTATGTTCTCTCTTTTTAATTTTGTTTGTAATTTGCTCTTTTTTTTTTTTGTGTACTAAGAATTCCAGTAACATTTATTGTACAAGGTAACCTAAAACCTTTCCCATAGTTGGTGCCTCACACTGAAGAAAAGATGCAAAACAATTGATCTCCCTTGCCTTCACCTCAAAACAGTAACACACTCTAAATAACATAAGAAAGACTACAAAGTAAACAGGGATGCTTGTCCCTCTTTAGTCCCTGTTGGTAGGTGGAGGGGAATGACTCCTGCAGATGGGTGGGGTGGGGCCCTTCCTAGTGGTGGAATGACTGACCTGCATGTACATTCCATGTCCTCTAGATAAGTCTGTTCTTTCAATGTTGAGGTCATCTTCTAAATTCTTGGAGCCTCTCTCTCACTTGTGTCTCCATTTGGTTTCCTCTGTCATGGGTGTCTGCTCGTTGCTATGGGAACGCCTTCATTATGTCTTCTTCCATGTTTGGGCCCAGGTCCTCTCCATGGACTGTATAAGGAAGATGAACGTAGTGACCGTGACGTCACCTGTCGGTTTCTGCACTGAGAAAACGAAGCCATCATAAACTTTCATAAACAAGCGCTGCTGTCCTGGAAAATGGTGTACACATGTAATTTCTCACCAATGAGATATTACATCTAGAATAAGAAGAATATTCAATTTAATAATAAATCACTGTTATAAAAGGTGGGTTCAAAATGGTATTGTATGAGTTGTACAACTTTTGAATGCTGAGGGACAGTTACTATTGTATGGTGAATTCCTCACCAAGTTCAGGCTGCCAATTACCCCAAAGGAATATGCAGTGGTCTTTGATGCCTTACCGAGTAGGGTACTGCAGCTGATTAGAGGTTCTACAAGTGAGATCTCCATAACTGCTCCACTCAGTTGTGGTTGTGGTTTGTTCCTTGGAGTCTATCCCAGCTGACTTAGGGCGAAGGCAGCTACACTTAGAGACAGACAACCAAGCACATTCACATTTACACCTATGGACAATTTAGAATCACCAATTAATCTCGACATGTTTTTGGACTGTGTGGGAGGAAGCCGGAGAACCTGGAGAGAACATGCAAACTCCACACAGAAAGATCCTGGGTGTCCTCACCGGGATGTGAACTGGCGACCTTCTTGCTGCGAGGCAACGATGCTAACCACTGATCCACCTTGCAGCCTCTAACAATAAATGCTCGAATAAATTCATCAGGAATCTCTTGCATACTGTAACTGTGGCCTCAGCAAAATTCTTTTGGAACTCACTCTATGGTGAAATTGACTGGGAATAAAACACGGCTAGTTGGTGATAAATTCTGTCTGAATGATAAAGTTAAAGAGGTCTCTTTTAAAATAATGCACAAAATATATCCAGCAAAGAACACTCTTGAGAAATTTAAGATCAATATTGAATATTTTGTGTTTTTTATGGAAATGGGGAAGAAACAATTTGCTATCTGTTTTATCATTGTGTATACACTAGAATATAGTGAAAGTCAGCCACTGTGAAAGTAGTGATCAGTAGTTGAAGTTCAAAATCGAATTGGGCTTGTGTCACATTTCAGGAGCTAGTGCTTTCTTACAAAGTTACTGCATGAGTCCCACTTTATGGATTATTTTATAGTCAGGCCTTTTATAAATCTTGACTATCTAATTAGGACAGGGAAAATGAAGGGCCCACAATCAACCTTGATTTTTTCTCAGCGCTCACCATTTTTATTGAATTACTTAAATCTCTAAATCTTCACATTAAATCAAATATCAAGGTTGATTTTTCTAACAAAGCACCCAAATTCCATTGAGTCAAAGGCTTATGGTGATAAGGTGGTTAGCACTGTTACCTCACAGCTAGAAGGTCCTGGGTTCGATTTCCATCCTGGTGTCTTTCTGTGTGGAATTTGCATGAACTCCTTGTGCCTCCTCTCACAAGGTGTCCGGCTTCCTCACACAGTCCAAAAACATGTCGAGGTTAATTGGTGATTCTAAATTGTCTGTAGGTGTGAATGTGTGTGCTTGGTTGCCCGTCTCTCTCTATGTGACCCTGCCATGGTCTGGCGACCTGTCCAGGGTATACCCTGCCCCATGTCAGCTGGGACAGGCTCCAGCCCCCCTCGACCCTACAGAGGATTAAGCAGTGTATAGATAATGGATGGTTGCTGAAGCATCAAAATTGTTATCACATTTCAAGAAACAGGCTACCAGCTTGCCTTAACCAGCCCAAGTACAACTGCTGAAAGAGTCAAAAGTCAGATTATAGTCATAACTTAGTTTTTACCAAATACAAAGTAACTGTGTGTTTTTTAGAGCAGATACCTAAAACCTTAACACATTCAACTGAAAGTGCCTGTATTATTATATAGCACTTGGCAAAAATATGTGCATGTGCACATGAAATGCATCTGCTAATAAATGTGTTTGTCAAATGTCCTGATGTTCAGAAGTGAAAGGCACGACAGGCGTCCCATCTCTTTCAAGTTTATTATGAATCTTCCAGCCGCCTACCACATACATACATCCACAAACACACTCACACACACATTAAGCTATACAGTACTTTGATATGAAGTTCGGTTTCTCAGCCCTGTTGTCACCAAATGCACAGGAGGTGCCCTGACTGCACTCACAAACACATGCCTCCAGTCCACCATCCTCATCACCTGTCCATTCTGCTCTAACAGGCTCGTATCCTCCACTGCACTCCATTTACAGAAAAATCAAAAGTGCTGAAATGAATCACACTCTTGTGAGGTCACAAATCAAATGTTTCATTGCTCCTAATGTGTATTTACTTGTGTTTTCTCACAACTGCTCAAATGATTTCCAGAGAAATAGACTAGAAGTCACGTTGATTCTAGTTATTTTCATAACAAAGTGATGACATGGCCACCTGTCAACAACCATTTAACATATATGGTCAAAAGACCTGTTGCACTATTTAGTTCCTGGTGACTCGTTCACTTCTGTGTCATGGTTAACAGAAGAAAAGTGAAATTCATCTAAATATGGGCAATTAATTCAGGATGTCTGCTGTCAGTAGTTCCAGGATTCAGGGGACAGATAGTCAGCATGAAATTAATACATTTTTCAAGAAATAACTGCACTTCAAAATTAGTCAAACAAGTGATGGTGAAACACAGACGTCTAATACTATCAATGTCTGATCATGCTGTCCAGATAGAACTTTTTTACTCATGACTTTGAGACTTAAAATGAAATATTACAACCTAGTTTGTGAAAGACTTTGTTTTGCTCTCCTTTAGCTCTATCTAGTGATTGTAAATTTCCAACTTTGTCCTCATAAAATGTCAACTTTACCTCACAATTAATTTCTTGTAAATGTCCTATTTTTCTCCCATATTCGTGATATATCTATTCTCTATCTCGATGACTTAATTCTCAAGTTTTTTTTTTAAACACTGACCTGCTGTCTTCACGTCATCTTGGAAAATAAGACATTTAGTAAACTGGAGCTCAGATGCTTTGAGAGGAAACGTCAGATCAATCATAGAGCATCAACTGAAACAGTCAGAAAGGCTGATTTAATCTTTTTATCCAGATGCTAAAAGTGACAATAATACACACAAACCCTTTTTTGAGTCAATATTAAAAACTCTTCATTTATCAATAGCTATATTTCCATATAAATTCATAAAAAACAATGTCAAATTAAATAGGTGAAATAAAAAATGATTACACCTTAATTTTCAAGGCAAATTGTTCAAGGAATTCGTTTTCTAGAAAATTCTGCCCCGTCCTTAGGAGTCCATTAATAAAAGGCCAAAGCATGGTTTACATATATACTTTAGTTTCCTCACTTGGTTTGTTCAAACAGATGATATCCCCCACAGCAAAACACAGTGGCCTACAGTGGCTTGTTGAAGTATTAGTGCATGCAGCAGTTCAGTGTGAACGCCACTTTAAAAAAAAAAGAAAAGAAATCCACATTTAAACCACATCATCCTGTACAAACATAGAATCATAGTCTCATCTAGTAATAAATCAACAAATGTATTGAAGAAAGAGGAAATCAGCTTTTTTGTTTTCCAATGTCACATTCTTTTTCCCTCCATCAAAAGGTAAGTCAAGTCACACAGCAACATTGATCAAAAGGTTCACGGGTATCCTTCTTTCTCGCAGATTGTCACAAGTCCAGAACAGATCCTAGACACTGCTTGATTACTGACCCCTAGTTGGACAGTGTTGTACATTTCCAATGCGTATCTGGAGGGCTGCGGACAAGGTAGCGACCTCAAGGAGACTGACGATAGGTTTACAGGGATTCTGCCTGGCCTGCATTATTGACTCCATGCATCACGGCACACCTGGCTACACCAACACCTTTCAAGTTCTTGGTCCAATACAATCACACCATGCATCATCTGGTGGATGCTGTTAATAAAAGAAAGGTTTAACTGACACCCGGGGCCAGACCTTGTATTAAAAACCAATTATGACTTAACCTAATCTGAGCTGATCTGCTGGATCACACGTTAAGTTGCCACTGAACTGGCCGTCTGTGACACCTGAAAGGATTCTGCTTTGACTGGGTTCCACAGACTGTGCATTATTACTATCATCACCATCATGGTGTGTTGTGATATGGATCTAAGTATGAGCATGAAAATGGTGACATTTTGAGCAAATTAACGTTGCTTGGGTCCAAAAGTGCATATGTTAACCTTTGTAAACCGACAGTCCTCAAACTCCGTTCCAGATTTTGTTGGTGGCACAAGTGGGATCCAGCCCCTAACCCTGGCAGTAGTAATTCCTTTCGCTACTATACTTATCTAATGAAACACCCTGGCCTAATCGTGCTAATGCCTTGCACTACCTACTGAGCTACAGTGAAGATTCAACCTACTGATATGAGCCAAATGGCTCCTGTTTGGTCCAGTGAGATCCAAAAAAAGTACTCTTTTATAGCCCAATGACAGTCCAGGTGTTCTTTTCATTTCACCAACACAGTTACTGTGCAGTACAGTTTATATCCACTGTCAAATAGTCGATGAGTAGTGAGACACAGACAAAAGGAGTTCCACTTAAGCGCACATGTCCACATCATGCAGTAGGCAGGTGGTTCCTTGTATCATGTAAAATCCAACGCTCTCTGTAAAATGCAGAAGAAGACAGTAGTATCTCTGCTTTGTCTCATTAATGCTTGAGCTGGAGGCTGGCTGCAACTCAGATTCAGACAGAAATCTCGTAGGTGGTGCCCCCGACGCCCGTCACCTTCTTCACCGCGACACCCTTGGGCTTGTGAGGGGGACTTGATGTCAATGCCGCGTTGAGATAGGGCACTCCAGGCTGGGCAGACATACTGACTGGGTGAGAGGGAGAGGAAGGGGCAGAGCAGGACGAGGTGGAGGAGAAGGGCTGGCTGCCATTGGTCCGACTTAGGGGTTTCATCTGGATCAGATCATCCCTGTATTTGGGAAAACACAAAGACAAACAAAGAAGCAATAAGTGTGACATTTCAGTGCAGAAAGTCCAGAGTTAATCTGAGGAAGAGAGGGACATGTCAGTGACACTGCCGATCACAATTTTACCACTGAATGTTTAAACTCCTTCAATAGCTGAGACATACAGTGAGGAAATGAGTATTTGATCTCTTTACCATTTCATGATTTTGGCAACATACAAAAAAACGAGCGGCCTAATTTTAATAGTCGGTTTATTTTAACTGAGTGTCAATTTAAAAAAAAAGTCAGAAAAACACATCATCTAACAGATATAAATTCATTTCTAGTTGATCCAAGAGAAAGAAATATTTGATCCCCTTCCTAACAGCAAGAATTCTAGCTTCCACAAATTGGTTATGTGGCCAAGAGGCAGGCATATTAGGCTGTGCAATTGTTCACAAATGGAAGAAAGACAAAAATGGCTCTGGAGCTTCACACAAGAACTCACCTATGATCATTAGCAAGGTCAAGGACAATCCCACAACTACATGAAAGGAACTTGGTTATGATTGAAAGGCGGCTGGGACTACAGTCACCAAGAAAACCACCAGTAACACACTGCGTTGTAATAATTTGGAATCCTGCAGCTCCCGCAGCGTCCCTCTGTTCAAGAAGGCACATGTCCAGGCCCGTCTGAGCGTTTGAATGATACTCAGGAGGCTTGGGAGAAAGTTACTTGTTCAGATGGGATCTGAACAAGTAACTTTGGTATCAATTCGACTCATGTTTAGAGAGAGAAGAATACTGACTATAACCCAAGAACACCATCCCCACAGTTAAGCACGGAGGTGGAAACATTCTGTTTTGGGGCTGTTTTTCTGCAATTGCATCGCATCGAGGGGGCAATGAATAGGGCCATGTATCCATACATTTTGGGGGAGAACCTCCATACCTCAGCCAGAGCACTAAAAATGGATCGTGAGTGGATCTTCCAAAGCATAGGGCCAGGCAACAAAGGCGTGGCTCCAGAAGTAGCACATTAAGGTCATGGAGTGGCCTAGCCATTCTCCAGACCTTAGTCCTACTGAAAATTTATGGAGGGAGCTAAAGCTTCGTGTTTCTATGCAACAGCCTCGGAACCTTAACGATCTGAAGAGAATTTGCTAAGAGGAGTGGTCTAAAGTACCTCCTGAGATGTGTGCAAACCTGGTGACCAGCTACAAGAAATGTCTGACGTCTGTGTTTGCCAAAGGTTACTCCACCAAGTACTAAGTCATGTTTGGTTGGTGGATCAAATACTTATTTCCTTTAATCAGCTGGTAATTAATTTATATCCATCAGATAATGTGTTTTTGCTTTGTTATTTTTTAGATTTTTGTTCTTTTGATGGTGTACGTCTCTTATAGTTTAAAACCACTAAGAACAAATCAGGGTGCACTTAATGCTTCTCATGTGTTTTTATGTTCATGAAGAACTCACAGTAATAGTATCATTATAATCATGACACTGAAAATGTTACGAATAGTGACTGCAGCATTTTTCAAGTAAATTTTCAGAGATTTATTTCCAGTCAGATCGACAATAATAACAATTTTAACATTATAACTGCTAAAGTATCAGAGTTTGATGGAAAACCAGCAGTGATCCTATGGCCTAGAAATGTTTAAGTACAAAAAGTAATTCCTAAAATCCCTGAAGATATGTCTGAATTGGTAGTGGGAAGAACTGTATGGTAAGAGTTCCAAATACCACAGTTTTCACTGCTTTTGACTGTCTGATCAGGAAGTTAATATGGTTACCAAACTATTTACATGAATGACTTAATTTTAATAGGGCATGCCTAAGAGTTTACAGTCAGCAGATTGATTAAATAACAGTCCAACTATAGAAAATAATATTAAAAAAAATCACATATATATCCTAATTTTTGTGGTTACTTTGTTTGCTTTTATGAAAAAAAACAAAAAACAAACTGCATCAATAAATCTATAAATGGACTGACACTGCCCTTTTTAAGTGGACTTGGTCCAACAGTTTGGTACACCCAGAGTTTGTTTTAATTGGACCAAATAAGTAAGATGTGGAAATTGTTAAAAAAACATACTAATCACTGTTGGTTTTCTGCTCACTCTCCAACTGGCCTCTTAATTGCACACTGGTTCACGGTCTCCACACACTGCCACAACTTCTATTTGGACTGTGCTGGGATGTATTTTGTTGACTGAACACAAAAGGTCTTCAGTGTCCCTTCAGACTGGATGTCACAGTTGTAATGGCTATATTTCTAAATACTGCTCCAGCTGTCATGGAAGACTACAGCTTGTGGGAGAAAAGGCTTCTATCTCTGTATTTTGGTGTAAACATTCATGTTAGACTAATAGCTGATGATACATTTTTGATATGCTGGCAAAATTATTAGAAAGAGAGTCTTGTGTTATCTGCGAAATACAATACAGGAGACATTCAAACTCTGGTCCATTACATTAACTTGTCAAGTTGACAGTGAATATGCTCCACAAGACATCATTGCAGTAAAGGAGCTTTAAGCAGTAGACAGTGGTGGAACAACTTCAAATAACATGGTAAACAGGATGAAAAAACAACAGGAATATGGGACAGGACAACAATCAAATTGTCATCATGCAAAAGTCAGACTGTGCCTCATTGTAACAGCAACAAGAACAACAAATCTGATGCCAAACAACAATGCAGACTTGTTGAACCTGGTAATGTTGCTCGTTCTGGAACACACACAATGTTCCATGCATATCTTTAAAATGACAAAACGTCTACGTAGAAAAATGTTACGTAATAATACTCTTTTTATGTTAAATATGCTTGATAAGATGAGAAAAAAATATGGACATTGTAAGTCCTACTTCAGTGATTTTAGGACTTTATTTTGAATCGATAAATTATTACCTATAATCTGATGCTAAAACTGCCTGTAGAGTTTAAGAACATTAACTGTCTTCATTCTTGTTTAATACTGTAATCATTTGTACTCTCACAAGTTTAGCAGTTGCTGTAAAAAAAAACTCCATGTGTTCTCCATGTGCCTTTTACGTTTGTGATGTTTACACTAACATGCATTTGTCGCAGAGTGTATGGATACAGATCTATCTCAAAAGGACTAAAGGCAATAAAGGTGGTAATAATGCAGAGGAAACCACAAAGAGACCACATCATACACAAAACACTGAGACACCTCACAGATGAATGGAAGACAACCAAAGGGGAAAAAAGAGAAACTCACAGGAAATCTTGCAGGAGGAAGAAGAGAGAAGGGAACAGGAGGAGGAGCAGTCAATCAGGTAGTCACGTTTTCAGGCGGGCAGGTGGTTTTTTTTCAGTGTTAGCAGATAACCAATCACCCTGACAAAAGGTGAAACTTATACTCACTTCAGGGTTTGTATTCCTCCTCCTCCTCCTCCTCCTCCTCCTCCCATCCCTCCACTTCCTCCACTTCCTCCTCCTCCTCCTCCTACCCCTGCTGCATTTGCTCCGGCTGACGCAGAGGCCTTGCGGACAAGTCGGTACTGCATTTCGGCAGCGGCGGCACTTGAGTAAGAGAGTGACTTCCCGAGAGGTGGGGGATATGGGGAGCGAGAAGGGTGGGTTGTGGAAGTGGAGGAGGAGCCCAGAGGAGTGTCAGTGGAGCGGGTGCGGTAGGGGTAAGCGTGGTGGGGCGGTGCATGAGGGGCAGCAAAACGGGGAGGGCGGGATGTGGAGGACGAGTGATGGTGGTGATGATGGGAGTGGTGGTGGTGGTGGTGGTGGTGGTGATGATGGTGTGGAGGAGGTTGGGCTGAGGAGGAGGGGGTACTAGAAGTTTGACTGGCAGGTAGGGCATGAGCACCAGCGTGGGGCTCACCCAGCAGGCGCTCTCTCTCTGGGGGTGGTGGTGGGGAGGAGGATGTGGAGGAGGAGGAGCGATGGAGGAACGGGTGATGGTAGGTGGTGCGGTGGTGATGATGGGGCGACTGGGAGTGCATCTCAGGATCTCTCTGTTGTGATGATAAGAAGGGGGAGCTGTAGCCGACTGTTGCTGGTGTGCAGGGTCTCCCAGTGGAAACCTCAGGGACCACTGAACCCACCACCTCTTTGTCAAAATCATCACCACCTGCCAGCAAGCTGTCATAAGACAGACTCCCGTTGCGAGAAGGGTGGTGAGGTGGGGGTGTCTGATTGGCTAGGCTCTTGAAGCTGGCAGAAGTGGTGGTCGCCTCAGAGACGTGGGCTGCACCTGCAGAGGTGTGCGTTGAGCTGGAAGAACGTGATGCCACTCCTGCCAGGACAGTAGGGTCGGAGAAGGAGGGGTACGAGCGCCCGCCGAGGGAGTAACCAGGAATGCCCCCTCCTCCCACCTCTCTCCTCTCCCCTCCTGCTCCTCCTCCTCCCCCTCCTTCTCCCACTCTGTCAGATGAAGTATCCCTCTGGTCCAGGCTGGGCTGTGAGCGGAAGCCAGGCTGTTGGTTTGCCTGGAGGAGGGAGGAAGTGGAGGAGGAGGAGTCCCTGGCACTGCCAACACTCTCCCCTCGACTCAACTAGAGAAGAAAAAGTATGACAGTACAAGAAAGAGGAGGGAAGGTGAAAGAGAGAGGGGGCAAAGGGAAGGAAAAGAAACGACAAAAAGCTGAGCAAATAAGAGTAGAGTGTTATGTGGGACTTCAACCATAATTCCTGTTTCGATAAAACTCCCTCTAGTGGTGGCATCTGCCCCAACACTTTAGCTGCTTTTGTTTCTGTACCAGACAAGAACTTGTGTCTTTGCAGCTCAGCGGTGTTTTTAACCTCTCATAGCATTTTTGTTTTTTTAAGATATTCTTTTTTCTTTTTTGAGGATAATACCCAACCACATGTTAAATTAAAGAAAGGCTGAAAACCTCAGACATGGAGAAGGCTCTGCACAATACAAGTACTTAATAATGATGCCAGCACTTGTACCACTGGACCTTCATCCAGCTTGCTGGATTTATTTATTTTGTGACAAAAGCCCCTTTCAGACATGGAACAGCGCAGGCTTCATCAATCTGTTTAAGTGTCAGCATTCTCGTCATTCAGACATACAGCACTTACCAAATTTATTACACCACCTCACGTAAAAACAAGAAAACAGAAATATTTTAGAAATCTTTCAAAAACTTGTTTAAAACTAAATATGTTGTTCTTATTTATTTGGCAAATAAAATGAAACAACTAAATAATCCCTTTTCACACATTATAACCAAAAAACCTAATATTTTGCATGGCCTCCTTTGGCCTTGATAACAGCTTGCATTCCTGTTGGTATTGTTGTTATGTACTTTTCAATGGTCTCTTTTGTTATTGAGTTCCCAATAGTTTCTAGCTGTTACCACAGACGTGCTTTAGATGAAACTTTTGTGCGATCAGTCTTTGAACATCCTACATCCTATATTTGTATATCTCAATAATGGCTTGTTAGCAGCTCTTTTTCCCCTTTAGGCCTTGTTCCATCAGTCGTCTCATGATTGTTCTGGAGACTTTCTCAGACTCTGATCTAGAAGCATTCATCAGCAGTGGTCTTCCTTCTGTCTCTAGTACTTAAAATATTGAGGTGGCTGACAGCTGCTTCAGTTAACTTTTGTTTCCTGCTTCTTCCTTGGAGCATTTTGTAAGAACCAGTCTCCGCAATTGAACCAAATCATCATACTTGCCCACACTGTGAGAACACTTAATGTCTTTCCCTATTTGTCTCAGAGACCATCCAGCATCATGAACTGCTTTAACGCGACTCCTTCATTTTCAGTGAGCTCTCAACATTTTACCATTTTGAACAGGGATGAGGAATTTCAAACTGAATTCACTTTTTTATAACCAAATTTGAGCTGGCTCACTGGGCTTCTCTGAGAAGTCAGAAATTAATCAGACATAACATTCAACAACTAAAACTAATTTCTCTGTTCAGGAATGCAAGTAAATAACTATAATTTGATATCTTAATCAAGAAATAATAATGTGCTTTACTATTTTTTCAGTTTTTTTTTTAAACCGGTAATTTTGAAAATTGATGGATAACAATAATAATTTTATTTTAGCATTAAAAATATCATTTGGTTAAAGAGCTTCTACATACTGGTGTAATGACCATCACAGAAGCATAAAAAACTGATTCTGGTAATTACCAATACTGTTGATTTATTAAGCGTTAGATTGGGTTGTGGTCTAATAAATCTGTTAAGCACTGTAGGTCACTTTCTTGTTGTTAATCCTCACAGCAGGAATCACACATACCCACCACAGTGCTACGTACCTGATATTTGTGATTCAAAACTTCAGCTGATGAACTGTGACTCTGTCTGTGTCAACTCACTTGTGTAAGGTAGGAAAAGTGCACAGTGTGACCTGCTGTTAGATCCTGATTGGCCCTTTCTCCCCATTGGGATAATGTGTAGTTAAACCTAATTAACAAAGTTACTACTGCTGCTCAGTGAGTGAATGCATGCAGCCCCGTCTCCCTTTGGATACACACTTCTGTCTGATGTGTCAAGTATGCAATAAACTATGAAGAATGAGTCCTAAACAGTTGAAAACTAAACTGCCATTTTGTGACAGCTCTCCTGTCTGATGTGAAAACATGTCGGCCTACACAGTGTGATCTGCTGTCGGATCCTGGTCCAAACTGATCTGTTCTCCATGTTCTCTAAGCGACAATTTAGAATTATAAGAATTTAATTAGGTTACTGACACTGTTGTTCAGTTTGCAAATGTGCACAACTCTCTCTCTTTGGAGATGCACATATGGATCCTGCTGCTGTCTAATGCTGTAGGTGTATAAAAAAAAAAAAAAAAAAACCTCAAAGGTAATAGTTCCAAACGGCTGGAAGAAACACACTTCAGTTGACATTATGTGGGGATAAACTGACTACATTCATTTTTGGTGAGTACTAATATATATATATAATATATAGTGTCAGCTTTCACTGCAGTAAGGTTTAATTATTATGGACTTTTTATTTTCTTTTCTAATAAATTTGAATTGAACAGATTTTCTCTGTGATGCTGAAATGTGGAAAATTCCTTCAAATCCCTGTCGCTGCTTGTGCGAGTCTATATGGAAATAATGTGACTTGTACACAGACGTTACCAGATTAAGCATTAAGGAATGACGCTGACACATTAAATGGCTGTCAGAATAATGGAATGGAGTGCATGTCTGAAAGAGGCTATGTTGTATGCTGCATTTCCAGTGCTGGATTTGGTCAAGTTTGACCAGTTGGCTGGTCAGTTCAGCAAACATGTAAAGCGAGGTCTGGAGTATTTCGACACCTTTTTGTAATTTTGCCTGTGTCCACAACCACAATATATCTGAAATGAAGCCTTCAGGTGTAAACTTTCATGTTTAACTTTATTTGCATCTAAAATCTTGGCTCTTATGAGCAACTGTGTAGCTAGCCCTTAGCCATTTTAATGCAGAAATAGTTTTCACGGAAAACCATTCTAAATAAGTAACTTTGACACATATAAATGAGTTTTTGGGGTTAAGAGAGGGACTTTAAAACTTACCATTGCATCACTGAACACTTGTTGCTGTGTGATTATCAGGTGGTGTAGATCATAATGGCTACCTGATATGCTTTGTTAAACAACTGACCCAAGGAAGGTCTAGTAACTTCGAAATCTGGATATTGTTGATATGTCTTCATAGTCAGTTACATGGGTGTGCCAAGTCTTCCTTCCTCTATATTAGATATTCAATTTTAAAATAGCAATGCCCATATTGTTTTAGTGCAGCAAGGCTTTTAACATCACTAGAAAGAAACAAAGCTGGAATTGTCACTATTCTATGAATAAGGGTTGTGTGTAGTCACTGTCAAGCACGCACAACCTAATCAACTGTTCCACAGATATATAGCATAAAAAACAATTTCTTCCCCTTGACAAGTGGTTGCATTTCAATGCTGAGGTTGCACAAATCTTTACAATTAAGACAAAATGTTATTGTTAAAATGCATATAGAAAATGTTTTGAGAGGCTCTGGAGCGAATCTACTGGAGTCACTAACACATTAGTTATTAGAAAGTAGAACTAATATGGAGACAGAAAATAGACAAACTAAAGAGAAATGTGAGAGAACGTAAACAATATTTTAACTGTCCTAGACTATCTGATGGGAAGACATAGACCAGACATGGGCACAAATACTGAGTGGAAACAACTATTCTTATATACAGATCTATACTATTCCTAATTTCGCTGTATAAAATACAGCGACAATAAAGGCATTCTATTCTATCTATACCAGTCCTAATTACAATCCAATGCTTAATTCAACAAATTACTTTCTCTTCATTACATTTATTCTCTTATTTTACTCTGTCCAAACAGTACTGCCAAGGCAGATAAATCTGGTCCCTAACCATTTTAAATATATTCATACAGTATTTCACCCATGTCCAGAGCAAATTGAAAAAGACGGGAAACAAAGTTAACAGTGAAGATAAGAAGGGAAAAATGCTTTCAGAACAATCACTTACTGATACTGATCAGAAAGCCACTGAGAAACGAAACCAAGATGGCCGATAGGAAATCAAAAGGAAAAACAGAAATGGAGATGCATTAGAATGAAATCAAAGTGATAAAAGCAGCGGAAGCAGGGACAAATGGAAGTTAACTTCTCTGCTCAGAAACAAACACACACTACATACATACATTTTATACATCAGTGTACTTTATAAGAGACTGACTGAACAGTTTTTTGTGTATCACCTTGTATCACCTAGCTGTCTCTGCTGTGTGTTTATTTGTGCATTACCTGGTTGGCATAAGCATGCGTAAGTGCTGTATGGTTCTTGCTGGGACTGTAGGTGGGCCTGTATTTGTACATCGTGGGAGTGGGAGGGGCTTTGTTCAGTAGACTGCACTCTGTGGGAGGGTGGGAAGCAAATGGGAAAAAAAAAAACATTACAGTAAAAATCTACACAGATTCCAATTTATGTCTAACTCACATGGCAGGAAGGTGAAACAAAGTTCTTGTGCAGGTGGCTTGTAAAAGTCTGAGCTGTAGCAGAAGTTAAATGACATTACCCTCTGTGTTTCCTCTGGCGATTCCAGGGTAGCGGAGCTCTGGTTTAGGCGGAGGAGGAGGCTCAGCATCACATGACTGGCTCTCCATCATCTCCAGACTAGACTTGGACTAGAAAGAAGACAAAGGAATCAGAGACAGAAAGTCAAAGAATAAAGTCTTGGAGAATCAATGCTATGCAGCACTGTAACGAAATTCAAACCTTTTCTGCCATCTATCATTATGGGGAATGTACGGTCACTCGCAAACAAAACTGATGAACTAACAGCTTTAGTAAATAGTCAACGTGCATACAGGGAGGGCAGTTTGCTTTGCTTCAGGGAGACATGGATTCACGGGAGGATACCGGATAGTCTGCTGGAGTTGGCTGGCTTCACGTTGATCCGAGCAGATCGGGGAAAACAAAGCAGTAAGAAGAGGGGAGGAGGACTTGCTGTTTTGTCAACTCTTAATGGTGTCATCCCAGACATGTGACTGTGTGGGTATCTGTACTCCCCATACTGAACTGTTGGCAGTAGGATTAAGACTGTACTATGTGCCACGGGAGTTCCTGACGCTGTACCATGAATGTAAATTAATTTTTGTGTGCTCCTGAACAGGACTGATTCCTATGAATTCTCCACCTTTTGCTGCCTGTGTGGCCTGGTGCTAGCCCTGTGACTAAGTCCTGACCTGTGACCAGCTCTTGTAACTCGTAGCTTTGCACAAAGATTTGATTTGTTTAATTCAATACTTAACTGTACACATCAGAGGCCTGTACTAAGAAGCAACTTCAACATACTTAGGATACCTTTCATTATCTTGCCACATGAAACCCAACAACTTGTGTTTTGCTGAGCAGTCCTCAAAGCTGGTTCTCAACTCAGTAAGTCAACCAATGGTTTCAGAACGTGGCATTGAGCATGTTCACATAAAAGTAGGTGGTGCTGGCACAAGATGAGGAGTCGCAAACATGGACATGTCTAGATTTTCACATTTCACACAAGAAGAAGAAACCATAATTCAAAACTAATATGAGGAATTGAAAACTATATTACAGGTTAAAAGTCCCACAGCTGCTGCAGCTAATACCAGAAAGGAAAGCTGGCAAAAAAAACAACTGCAGACTGTGTGAACACGAGATAATAGGCTTATCAATATCACTGCCTTATATGAGGTTTGATCTGAGAAAAATTCTAATTATGTCCGTGTAACAAAATTACAGATGTCGTCACTTCATGCTGCCCACAACAATTGAAATTATTTAAAGAATAACTATTGAAGTAATAAAAATAAAAAACTATTTTCATGATGATGTGGAGGGAAAATTTAGTAAACTCACATTCATTGTGATGTTCTTACAGTGGGATTACAACAGGTTTGAGAGCAAGAAAAGAACAAATGCAGAAAAATCATTCAAACTGAGCTCTGTGGGATCATCCATAAAAGGTAATACCCTTTTCCAAGAGAACTGATTGGACAGTAGGCAGTGATTTAATTCGCACTAATGTAGAACTAAACCTGGTCCAGAGCAGGTTAGGCATTCAGCATAAGCCTGGTAAAAAGTGAACCACCATCACAGTCCTGAAAACCTAGAGTTAAACCTGAAGTTACCTTTTACCTCGTAAATCCTGCTTCATAGTACAGACCTCTGCACACACTTTGCCAGCTATTCATTGCTAGACACACTAGGGGTGGGAACATTGCTGCCCATGTCTTTCAGCTTGGGTAGGGAGTTCAGTCATTTTGTTTTGTAGCGTAGTTAGCAAGTTAAAATAATGTTAGTGCTATTTTGATTTTATGTGATGAAAACAAACCAAAAGACATGAGTACGAGTTTAACCATTATTCCATTTTCAAAAACATTACTGCCTGCAGGGCTTTATTCCATCACAGCAGAGTTAACTCAGGTAGTAATCATCAACATACACCAGGCATTTTCCCAGTGTTTGACCATGTTGTACCCTTATAGCAGCTTTTAAATTTCTAACACAAACAACTGCAAATGATATTGTGTTTTTGTATCCTTTGTTACGGAGCATCACAGGCTGTCTGAGCTGATGTATTGTGTTGTATTTACTGATGTAACCTTACAGGATTTCTGTTTGGTGAGTTTAAAACAGCTTTCAAACCTCTTGCTGCCATCTTGATCTGCATATATGTAAACCTATCAAGAATCCTTGCATAACACTTGCTTACCACCATGCTAATTTAGTTCTTTTTTGAAACAGTGTATACAGCACTTCAGTTAAGCCTGTCCCCCCGAGCACTTATCCAGCTCTTCTTACCCTGTGCAGGTCTCCCTGTATGCCATTGTCCAGGATCTTTGCAGCCAGCTGGGCCTCTGTCAGCTGTGGGCGCAGAAAAGGAGGCTGCACAAACACACTCTGCACACACTTCTTCCTGCCAAGATACCTGCAGAGAGTACAGACACAAAGTGTCACTATAAATACCTATCACTACGACCCAATATCATCAGTGGATCTTTCAAATATCAAAGACCTCTCGCTCATTCTCTCAAAATCATAGTCTTTGGATGTTTCACGTCTCTGTATTTTGTTGCACAATGTGTCGGTAGTTTTAGTTTAGCCTTCCCCATTTTGTTCAAACCTAAAGTAGCCACAGTTCACAGATTCAGTTTAGAGCTGTATTCACTGGTTGTTGAGCATTAAGCAATATGGTGGGTACGACTAAATGAATCAACATAAGTGAAGCTTAATTATCAAAACCTGCAGCTCTAACCTGAGAATGACTATTGACAAGACTTGAATGGTAATTATTAATATTTATTATTGTGACACATTGCTTGAACAAACTGACAGCTGATATTCAGTAACTACTGGCTCCAAATGTTCATCTAATGCGTAAGACTCTCAGGTTTTTAACATGCGACGATCAGCTGACCTTTTCTCCAGAGAAGAATCTCCACTCTGGTTCACAGGCAGTCATAGAACGATGTTACAGACCGATGTGTCTTTTCACTCGTAAATAATCAGGAGAGATCAGTGATCATTTTGGAGAAAGCATGCTAAATAGTAGATTTGAGTTTTAGTGTAGCTGTTTCCCAATTCATATTAATTAGCTACAGCTGATATCTACTGCTGGTGAAGGTTTTTTTAGCCTAGCTTCAGCTCAGATGCTAACTTCACCTGTATGCTGTCAGTGCTGGTCTTTGGGGATAAACATAGCAAGAAGACACAAAAGGGTCAATAACAAATCAATTTAACAAAGACACGGTCCCAAATGGGAAAAAAGGATCCAAAATAAAACCAAACCAAATCCTACAAGTGTTTACTGAGAAATGTTCTATGCTGTGTCTTATCAAAATGCTGAGGCGTAGTCAGTAAAAACATGCTTTTGTACGGTTATATCTGTACACAAACATCAAAAACTCCGACAGAGCATCCCCCTCCCCGACATCAGCAACTCTGATAACCTAACTGTCATGCTTACACCTCTGTACAGACCGAGGATGAAACAAAACAAACCAGCACTCAGATAACTCAGCGGCCAAAAGAGGTAATCCCATCACTGCATGACTGTTTTGAAGACACACAGTGGGAAATTTTCAAAGTGGCAGCAAAAACGGATGTCACCAATCTGCAGGAATATACAGTCTGTCCTTGGCTACATAACGAAATGTATTGATGATGAGACTGCTGTAACAACCATCAGGAAATCAGAAATCCTGGCTGACTGGGGAGGTCTTCTCACTGCTAAGGGTCTGAAATGCTGCCTTTCAATCTGGGGACATGGAAGCACACCGGCAAGAGAAAATCTGTCCCAGGGCATCAGAGAGGTGAGGAGGCTGTATAGGCAGAAGCACAACAGCCACTTCATAAAAAACTCATGGAGGTTGTGGCAGGGTTTTAATACAATCACTGACAATAAGCCCTCCCCGCTGCAGGTAAGCTACACAGACACCACACAACCAGACCGATTAAATGACTTTTATGGATGTTAACAGGCATACATACCATTAACTAGCAAGCAGGCACTCCAGGTGACAGAAACCCAGTGCCAACCCATGCAAGTCAGTAGGGCTGAACAGTGTCCCTAGGTATATTGAAGGAGTGTTCTCAGCAGTTGAAAGAAGTCTTTACAGACATTTTTAACATATCGCTCATCCAGAGAGCTGTGACCACCTGCCCTTAGAATGCCACGATCATTCCCATGTCAAAAAGTCAAACTCAGCCTGCCTGTATGACTTCCATCCTATAGCCTTACACTCACATTCATGAAATGTTTCAAGCAGATTATCTTGCAACACATTAAGGGACGCCTCCAAGCAAACTTAGACTCACCACAGTTTGCATATAGAGCCAATCACTCGGCGGAGGACACCATCTCCACTGTACTCCATTTCACTCTGTCACACCGAGAGGAGAAAAACACTTATGCCTGGATGCCTCTTCATCGACTTCAGCTCGGCATTTAATGCCATCATTCCACAGCAGCTGGTGGAAAAGCTGAAGCTCCTGGGGGTGGACTATGGCTATGACTATGGTTGGATCCTCAGCTTCCTGTCGCAACTGCAGCAGAGAGTCATGGTGGGCAATCTCTCTTCATAAACAATGTCAGTAAGCACAGGGTCTCCTCAAGGCTGTGTCTTGAGCCCCCTGCTCTTTAGTGTCCTTGTATATGACTGCAATGCCAGATTTAACACTAATCACATTATAAAGTTTGCTGACGACACGACGGCAGTGGTTCTGTTCAGCAATGATGATGAGACTGCATAAAGGAAGGAGGTGGAGCAATTGATATAATGGTGCAGCTCACGCAATCTCTGCCTCAGTTTCGACAAAACAAAGGAACTGGTGATCAATTTCAGGAGCACCGGCAAGTTCCATCACACGCCGCTGACCATCAGCGGCACCACTGTGGAGAGAGTCAAGAATCAAGTTCCTGGGGTCCACCTGGTGGACGACCTGACCTTCACTACCAACACCACGGCTATTGGTAAAAAGGCCCACTAGTGGCTCCACCCCATACAGTATCTGAAGAAGGCGGGCCTCCCGACCCCCCATCTTACCACCTTCTACAGAGCCACCATTGAAAACATCTTAACTTATGGTCTTAATTCCTGGTTCAGCAGCTGCAAAGCAGTGAAGAAACATCAGTTAAGCAGGTTCGTGAAGACAGCCAGCAATATCACTGGCACCAGTCTCCTCTTCCTGCTGGAGATCTACAACAAACTCTGCGCTCACAGAGCCACCAGCGTCATGAGGGACCCCCATCACCCTCCCACAGTCTGTTCTCCCTCCTGCTATTGGGGGAAAGACACAGGAACCTGTACGACAAATCCAGCAGGATGCTGAACAGTTTCTTCCCACAGTCAGAATTATAAACGGACTGTGTCCCCTCCCCCTGACATGCCCCTCCACACCGCACATAAACATGCAGACACACACTGATTTAAACATCTCCGCTAACTGACAATTACAAGTTGTACCATGCTAGCTGAATGGACTTGATTTAAAGTTTTTTAGCACTTTAAAATGTTGTGATGCCTCTGGCTAAATCTGCACTTACAATAGCACCTCAACATACTGTGCTGCTAACTTAAAGACTTGTAGCACCACTATTGTGTTTGGCTGTGTTTATGTTACTTGTCCTTTAGCATATCTTTATTATTTGTTATTTTTTTAATTACTCTTCTAACCTACTGTTGACTGTTGTGTTTTCTGTGGTACTGTTGCGGGCTAGAGGGAGCGACATTTTGTTTTTTTGTGTACATGATGCACAGAGAAATGACTAATGAAGAAATCTTAAATCTTGTTATATAATGTTTGTGAACAGCCAACCAGAGAGGGAAGTAGGTAAATACAAAAGGAAACAGTGAAAAACAAATTTTAAAAAATGCACCTGGGTGCCTGTGAGCTGCAGAGGACATGAGAGACATTCTTCCAACAGCCATTGGTGAAAGGGTTCACGCCTCCTCTGAACTTTCCTGTTACCTGGAGAAAGACACGACATAGAGAGAGTGAGAGAGAGGAAAATACAGTTACATGTAGAATGTACAAACACTCTGTCAAAACATAATAGGAAAGAATAATACAGTAACAGAAAGGCTACAGATGTCTACACTTTCAAAAGAAATCTGATTATTATAATGTGAAGTACAAAGACTTACTCTTAATCTGTTCTATACCATCACTGATACTAATACTAATCCAGCCACTGCTGCATGCATAGCGTAATAGCAAGTTTCATACCTGTTCATTGGTCGTCCTGCCCCTGGCCACAAGCACTATGTGGAAACCAGTAAGGCCAGCAACAGGAATGAAGAACAGGCCTGCCACACACATTACAGCGAGGCTGAGAGCACAGGGGGTCAAGGAATATTTTAGGACTTTGTATATTACATAACAACTCGAAAAAGGCTAATAGAGAGTGGCATAATAAACTTCATGACACACTCATGTGATTTCTTGTGGCCTGGTGGGGATGATATCACACATCCTCCTTAGCACAAAAAACTCTCAAAAACAGCATTTGGACCATCAAAGTACTACAACATGATATCAATAACTTGTTAAGAAAGTCTGTTTAAACCAGTTAGCAATGCTTTAAGTCAGAAAAAGGGTCAAGTGTCAAACTGACAAAGTCATTAATAAAACCATCACACTGAAATAAGTCCTCATTTCGACACAACCAAAAAAACCTGAAGGTAACCCAACAGTATCAGAAATATACCATTTACAAAGCAAAAATACGTGACATATTAAAGGATACGTGACAATGGCATGCAGGCGGTCGATGTTCTGTCGATGATAGAGGATGAAGAGCAGGCCAAAACCAAACACGGCCATAATGTGAGCCGTAAGCGATAGCAGGAAAAGGAAGAAGTAGCGGTAGTTTCGCCTGCCGATGCAGTTGTTCACCCACGGACAGTGGTGGTCAAAGTCCTACAAAAGTAGGATTAGGGTTCAAACACTATGGTAAGAGTAACAGCTTGAAAGGCATGTCTTTACTATTCCAATATAAACATATTCATCGAGTTGGAGTCTAGCATCCCTTACTTATTGATACAGAACCTACAATTGGCATTTCACTCCATTTGATGTTAACAAGCATAAATTATGAGAAAAACGTTGAGATACTTTATCTTGGCGACAGACGGACAGACTTTGGAGAGTGCAAAATAATGTCATATAATACCCTAAAGTACATGTATATATGTAAATAGGCCATGTTTGAGCGGGGACGCACCTCGACACAGTTGTCACAGACAGAGCAGTGGGAACACCGTGGCGGTCTGTAGAAGCGGCAGGTTGAACACCATTTCATCCTGACCTGAATTCCTCTGATCTCCACAGTCTTGTAAAGGGGAGCACGGAAATCATCCTCCTTGTCCTCATCCTCCTCAGCTGCACAGATAACACACACTTAATCCTACACACAAGCCTAAAATTGACTATAATTAACATTTCAGGTCTGATATCAGAACACATGTAACACCTTATATTCCTACTTACTACTGAACAAAATCATTCAGTTAAACATCTGGTGATAATATTATTCTTGTACACTTTCTTTTCTTGACATTGTCTTTACTGTGCAAACATACACAAATTACTTGTTGTATACATTTAACTATCTATTAACTCACCCCTCGGGAAGATACCGGGGTCCATGAATGTGGCCATACAGAAGTTAGCCAAAACAAACAGGAAGATGACGCCATTATAGATGGGCACAGCTACCGAGAAACGCTCTGAAAGCCACGGACATCTGAAACATGAATGAAACCATGCCCATCACTCAAGATGATGTAACACTACCTAATAATACAACCGTTTGGTTCAGCTATAATAAAAGCGAGCTTGTGAAAGATAAGTTGCAGGACTACTTACTGGTCCTTTCACAGATTGATTGATAGAATTTTGAAAAAAGCAACACTCTGACATTTGTTTGGAAATAGTAATATTTTAATGGTTAATTGGATCATTTCATTTGTTAACTGAGGATTGGTTGGATTTGACTGCACATGATTTACATGAGTCTGAACTTTAAGTTACCTACTTAAGTTTTTTTTATAGAGACGTCAAACAACTTTTCTGTAGATTAAAACATGAAAACGTGCTCAATACACGATTGAGCCATTTAAAAGATGAGGCTGGAGGTTTTGGTTATCACGAGGTACCCCTTACCCTAACCCAATAGAGATTCACCAGGATTTTGACTATTATTAGACCTATGGAACCAAAAAACCCAGCATTTAATCAGTCAGTCTAGAATATTGTGACATCGTGTTTGTAATATCCTAGAAAGTAAGACTATGCAATATCCCTCCCCCCAAAAAATGTATGGTTAGCATGTGCTATGGTGGCATACATGATTTACCCCAACAAAGCAGGGCTTATGATGGTTGATGGAAAAATATTTTTCAAATGAAAGCTGCCAACAAATGACACTGTGTGCTGATAGTTTGCTGTATTTAGCGCTTTGTTTTTATAGTGTCCAAGGAGGTCTCCTGGTTATTTTTGTGATTTTCCACTTATTTTCACTTGTTGTTTGTTGATAGTTATCAGCCGTTTTACATAGCGGTGTATTAATTCAATGGTGAGAAAACACAAGGGAATGTGACCACTGCAGTGAGATAAACACTAAGAGACTGTGGATGATGAGCTTTTGTCAGGGTGACAGATGTTGGCCTATTTTCTCTTCACTAATCTGAGGCACAGAGCTGACTGCCCACCACCCTGACCACACAGACACAGATATTAGATTTTCTCACATATGCACACACAAATACAAGGTAACAGGCTGGCAGGCACACGTACGTCAATCTGACGCTCCCACATTTGAACTACACTCATGTTCTCCCACAGACACTGCTTCACACACTCCCGGTTTTGCCACTACGTTTGTTTGTTCTCACACTCTCACTCTATGACAAACACACATAAATCCACTCAAAGGTGAGGTGTCAGCAACATCGGTGATGACAGTATATCACACCAATACTGAAACAAAGCCTTGACAGTCACAATAGGGTGAATACATCTGAAAATGCTGCTTACATGTAAAAACAAACTTCACTCAACACTATTGTTTACAGGCTGTTTTTGAAATAATCTGTTTCAGTACTCAAATTATAAAGACACGTTTCTACCAACTCCTCCTAGTTATTTTGTTTGCTTTCTGCCTTTTGGACATGACTAATCCCAGACAAATGTATGTTGTACTATTATCAATTGCTAAATTATTTATGTGCCAGCTATAACAACCCTGTCGGGGTGCCCTGGTGGCCTAAGGGTTTAGGTGTCAATTGTGAAGTAGGGACAATCTCTCAACTTTTGGCATCAGATTCAGTTAGGTAAACATACAGTAAATTGAGTTAACAATACCTATATTTTACATTTACGTGCTCCATTCATCAGTATACACATGTATTTCATTTTATAAATCCACTTCAAACAATTTACTTATGCTTCTGTTAGTTTCACACCAAGCAGAAACATTTGTTCCATTTTGCTTATAGCACTTTGAACTACATTTGAGCTCACAATTCAGCAACAATTCTCTGTTATTATATTGCTACATTGTTATAATACATATTTCACTCCTTATTTCAGAAATAGTGCTAACTATATTAACAGCATTATTTTTTGACATAATAATGTACACCTCAGTGTATTAACTCATAATTACAGCCACATTTATTCTACTCTAACTATGCTTTTTTAAATACCTCTGGGTTCCATTTAAAAGTGATTTGGCAAACTGTGATCAAGATTCCTATTTGCATGCTTGATTTCAAACCTGCATTAGTTTAATTCTCTTAGCTGTAAATGCATTTATGCATTACCACACCATACAGTTGCTATAGTGTCTGTTTTATCAGAGCTTTGTCTCTTTCAGACAGAGCTGCCTGCTGCTGGAAACAATCCTAAAAGGAATGAAACAAATAAAGTTATGGTCCGTAAGATCAAAACAATCTGCTGAAAGAAGCTAAAAAAATGTTTTTTTAAATAAACTTTAAAAAAAAAAAAAAAAACCTGCAGCATTTGTGACAATTATTTCTAAGTTCACTTTGGCAACTGTTCATATTACACATGTTGACGGTAATTTGACCAATGATTACTTTGACAATAAATTTAGATATAATTTATATTGACAAACAGATAAAATAATCAAATAATTATCACCAATCACATCAAACAATCTCTGTCATTCATGTACAAACAACATGGCCCTGCTCTCCTTTACAAATATGTCACAATTAAAGATGCATTTCTTCACAGCTCATAAACAGGTCAATGCATGTCTGAGACAACTGTATTGTTGCCACTTACGTGAAGCAGAAGAAGAGCGTGGTGGACCCAACCAGGAAGAAAGTGGCAGCAGACACCGGGACGTAGCGGGAGGGTCGTAAGGGTCTGCTGGGCGGGACCACAGCATGAGGGAGAGGTGACGACGATGGACCCCGCCCTCCGCTCTTACTACTACCACCACCTGGCATCACGTCCTGTGTGTTTGTTCTCTAAACGCTGTGCCAAAGAATTTGTGATTCAGAGATAAATGTTTCTTTAGCTATATGAAGTGGATTGGTAGTGTAGAAGTAGAAATGGCAGATTGGCAAAAAATAAAAAAAAGGAAAACAAAGGAAAGAAGAGCTTTATAAGGGATGGTGGAATATTTGCAGAGGGTTCTGTCTCAGATGGCAAAGAGAAAAACACTGAGGTTGAACATTTACATGAGAGGAGTGAATGGTTGGTTTCTTGGGTTATTAGGTCGAGCCCAATCTACTGTGTGTGAGAGCTCAAAAGAAGCTTGTAAGTCTCTGTTGTAGAAGCCTTGTTTCCTTCTCAGCCAGACAAACAGGTGGGAAGACTGGCTGACCAAGACAGCCACTGATTGTAAAGAGAAATATGTTTAAGTAACTATCTGTTACACAGTTGAAGGCAAATACAAAACCACTTATTCCACTCTGTTCAACAACACAGCCAGTTAATTACAGGTTTACACAAAGTGATTATTTCTATGGGTGCCTTTACACACAGCACAATCAGTCTAAGAGCAGTAATTTAGCTTGTTGTGTTACAAGGTGAACCAAGCCAAACACACAATAGTGCAATTTAAACAAAAAACAAAACAAACATTGCTGCTATTTAGATGTTTTGTAAAAAGAAGTATTTGGACCCTTTTTTTTTTTTTTTTGTTAAACCACAATAATTATGTTCTTCAGTGTTTTGGTGCTGTGAAAAGTGACAGACAGAAACGTTCTGCTAAACTGAAGAGCCTTGCCTCAGATGTGAACTAGTTCAGCTTGGTAGTAGTATGGTACGGTACCAGAATAGGCAGAGGTAGAACTGTTTTGGTACGAAATGGACATAGTAGAAACAACAAAACAAAGAAAGAGAGAGAGAAAAAAAAAAGAGAAAAGCTTGAAAGGAAAAAAAAGGCCTGAGATGATAATGTGATTTGGCTTTCTATTTTCCTTCCTCTGTGGCTTTCCTCAGCTTAGTGCAGGTCGGGTCGTAATATCAGAAATGAGCTCTTTTGTAGCCAAGTCTGCATTAGCAAAAAGCTCATTCCAATATAAGGTTTTCAGCACTCACAAATAAGAGTCTTGCAAATGAAAAAAATGTCAACCCCTTGCTCGTTGTTAGAGGAGGAGACAATTGCCTTTCAGTTCAGGACTTGTATTAGAAACAGCAGTCTGTAAGCGGGCCAATGGAGTAGCCTGGTTTTCCTGTGTCGGGGCATCCCTAAACCCGGCTGGTGGCAGATTCAAACCACCTTACCTGCCAGCAGCACCATGGATATAATTAGAAGACAAAAAGCTGGCACTGATTGTGTGGTACTTTTCAAAATGTCTAGAGGATAATCCAGTAGACCATCCATTAGTATCCATGTACATGAAATTGTTGAAAAGCAGCTAAATCTACAGTGCTGAACTGGAGCACTGGGGGTTAGGTGTGACCGGATAATGATATTTCCTTCTTCCTCTGTGTTAGTGGACAGCCATGCCGGTTAGTTATGTAATGGTTGGCTTCCCAGCGACAGTTTTTTTTTTTTTTCCTTTCTATTTTGCTGTCTTCTCCAGGGACTTCCCTCTGACTTCCTTTCTCAGCAGAGAGCACCGAGGCTTGGATAACACCCTCCAACAACAATCCCGTGTGGGATACACCCTCTCCAGAGAAATGTTTTAAGAACAGCCTCAACAAAAAAGTAAAAAAAAAATAAAAAAAAATAGTAGGCTTTTATATGGGGAAAATGAAGATTCCAAAAGCCAGATGAATCTTGAGGTTTTCAGGTTTGAAGTGTCATTCTCTAACCTCAAAAACAGGATGCAAGCACATTTCCCCTTCCTCTTGGCCTCCTCTATGATGTGGATCACTTTGTGTATATGAATGAAACAGCAGAATTCTCCAGGTTGTTCTAGGTCGCAGAAAAAAATGAATCCAGGCTGATAGTTGGTCAAGATGTGGCACCTGCAGTAACAACGAGAAGAACAAAGGGTTGGACAAAGATTAGAAACTCCAGTATATAAAAAGGTATTTTACACAACCTTTATAGGCTAGAAAATTTCATGATTTATCCACTGTCACTGAACAATAAGGCTAACAGCGCAAGTGCTAACATATCTGCATTTGCTTTCATTAACACAATACAGAGCCCAAACAATCACTGGTTAGAATTCAAGAGGAAAAACAACATCTTTAGAAAGTTATAGGTATAGGTTCCCCCATAACCAAATAACTGGAGCACAAGCATCTAAGGATGTTTGCACTTTAGGTGTAATTTACCCAAGGACATAGAACCTTTCGAGGAATTTGGAACCTGGTCTGTGTTGCAATGGGAGGAAGCAGAGACAGAATTAAGATCTTGTGTTGTAATTCCAAGTGTTAAAAAAAAAACATGTGTGCAGTGCTGAACATTACTGATTGGTCAAGTATTTGCTCATTTCTAAGATTCTTTTTTTTTGGCATATTTTCCCCACTTTGATGTTTAAGATCATCAAACAAATTGTAAGACGGAGATAACCCAAGTAAACACAAAATGCAGTTTTTAATTGCTGATTTTATTTATTAAGGAAAAAAAACTATTCAAAGCTACCCGGCCCTGTGTGAAAAAGTAACTGCCGTAAACCTAATAACTGGTTAGGCTTTTATAATTGGCAATGAGTCTTTCACATCTCTGTGGAGATATTTTGGCCTACTCTTCTTTGTATAATTATTGTAATTCAGCAACACTGGAGGGTTTTCGAACATGAACGGCCTTTTTAAGGTCATGCCACAGCATTTCAATCGGATTCAAGTCCAGACTTTGACTAGGCCACTCCAAAAGACTTCATATATTTATTTTTTTATTTTTATTTTTTTAAGCCATTCAGAAGACGACTTGCTGGTGTGTTGTAGATCCTTGTCCTGCTGCAGAACCCAAGTGTGCTTCAGCTTGAGGTCACCAACTGATGGTCGAACATTCTCCTTTAGGATTTTCTGGTAGAGAGCAGAATTCATGGTTCCATCAATCACAGCAAGTCATCCAGGTGCTGAAGCAGCAGAGCAGCCCCAGACCATCACACGACCAGCACCATGTCTGACTGTTGTTAAGATGTTCTTTTTCTGAAATGCTGTGTTACTTTTACGCCAGATGTAACGAGACACACACCTTCCAAAAAGTTCAACTTTGGTCTCGTCAGTCCATAGAATATTCTCCCAAAAGTCTTGGGGATCATTCAGATGTTTATTTGCAAAAGTAAGACGAGCCTTTATGTTCTTCTTGGTCAGTAGTGGTTTTGGTCTTGGAACTCTGCCATGGATGCCATTTTTGCCCAGTGACTTCCTTATTGTTGAGTGATGAACACTGAGCTTAACTGAGGCATGGGAGGCCTGTAGTTCTTTAGACGTTATCCTGGGTTCCTTTGTGACCTCCTGGATGAGGCGTCGCTGTGCTCTTGGGGTCATTTTGGTCGGCCGGCCACTCCTGGGAAGGTTCATTACTGTTCCATGTTTTCTCCATTTGTGGATAATGGCTCTAAACGTGGTTCACTGGAGTCCTAAAGCTTTAGAAATGGCTTTGTAACCATTTTCAGACTGATAGGTGTCAGTTACTTTATCTCTCATCTGTTCTTGAATTTCTTTGGATCACAGCATTTTGTTGCAGCTTTTTGAGACCTCCTGGCCGACTTCATTTTATCAGACAGGTTCTATTTAAGTGATTTCTTGATAGAACCGGTCTGGAGGTAATCGGGCTTGGGTGTGGTCAGTGAAATTGAACTCAGCTTTCTAAAAAATGTGATTAGCCACAGTTAATTCATGATTTAACAAGGGGGGCAATTAGTATTTCACACAGGGCCAGGTAGGTTTGGATAGCTTTTTTCCCTTAAAACACTAAATCATGATTTGAAAACTGTATCTTATCTTTACTTTGGTAATCTTTGTCGAATATTAAATATATATAAAGTCTAAAGTTTATAGCTGTAATGTGCAGCTGTCAGTTACAAATAAACAGCTGCATTGATCGGTAAAATACATTTATTTTGCACGTTTGACAGTTTTCTACCAGCATTCCTGTCCTGCACAATTTGCAGTAGCAGCGCTTTTTTCCATCATACATTCTTATATTCCTTGTCGCTCTCCATTATAACAACCTGTTAACTGAAGCAGCTGCACATGATCGATTAATTTTATGCAGAAGCAGAGTCACATGATGCATTAAACACCACCCTTTATGTGAACATGCACAGAGTCTGAAGCAGAAAGCCTGAGTTATCAAAGTTGATGCCTTTTTGATACATGAGGGCTGTACTTCAAAGCAAGTTTGACACAGCCAGGCTTTTATTGTGTAAGCTGGCTTGACAAAAGGAAAGCCACAATCAGAGATAATGAGTATCACGAAGGTGGCTGTCAACTTTCTTTGTCAACGCAGACTTTCTGCTTCAGACTTGGTGCGTGTTTACATAAAAGGAGGTGTTTAACGTGTCATGTGACTCTTCTGCACTAAATGAAACAATCGTCTGCAGCTGCTTCAATTAACACGTTGTTTTAATGGAGAACAATGAGGAATAGAAAAATGTAAGATGGCAAAAAGTGCTGCTACTGCAAATGATGCAAGACCGGATTGCTGGTAGAAAATGTACGTAATATATTTATTTTACTGATCCATGCAGCCGCTTATCTCTAACTGACAGCTGCACATTAAACATGTTAAACTTTAAACTTAATATATTTAAACATGATCTTGTATTGAAGTGCCTTTAGGTCTGACACTGTCCCATAATGCAGGATATCACTTTAGTTTTTGGCCAAATCAAAGTGAATTTAATGTTATTGATTGAATATTCTCTGCAATAAATACCAGTAGAATAATCCGTTTTCTCATCTGTGTTCAATCAGCTACAGTAGCAGCAGAGCAAACGGACTTGACAACAAATCAGAGCCAAACATAAAAACATATTTGGGATTTATGCATCGCCAACGCAATACATGTCTGGTTCTCATGGCAGCGCAATACATACAGTGTGTGATACTGTAACTACACGGCTTCATTCAGTGATATTAGAAACGTATAAGTCAGCATGTTTGCAGATAAAATGCATTCCCTCAGCTGCGACTCTGTATCACTCATAGAGAATCGTCAGGAAACGATTTGATTAAAAGGAGACACTTCTTCCATCCGATTTAAATCCAAAACTCTGAACATAACCTGCTCCCGACCAGGCTAGCTCCACAGCATCAGTTACCATGCAGATCTAGCTCCACAGCATCAGTTACCATGGAGATCTAGCTCCACAGCATCAGTTACCATG